TTAAGCCACCTTTAATTGGATTAGTGCAAAACAAAAAAAAGCAAAAAAAACAGCGCTTCAGTAAAAAGCGGGGGTTTTAGCCATAAATTGGCTCTATACATACATATATGTACATATATACATCCGTGGGTGGACATAAATATCTGAGATAAACGAACGCTGGTGGCTTCAATTTCCACGGAAATGGAGGCACAACCAAAGGAACTTATGCGGCACACCCACACACACATGTTAGCTAGCATATTCAAGTATATTCATATATATATATATACTGTTTACATAAGGCTAGACATTTGCTATACCCCCATTTTCCGATGCTCTCTATCTCCTTCCACCCGATATCTGATTTTTCCTCCCCCATTTTTTGGGTGGCTGCCAGTCCAGCCATTGTTTTCCTTTGCCATATATAACATTTAATTTTATGCTAATTTTATCGATTGCCTCAACCGTTGAACGAAGAAAAACAAGCGCAAAATATGTAATATTCCGAATCTTCGCCTGAAGCTATTGCAAATCAGTGTCGAAAGTGGGAGTAACATACTCATAGCATACCATCTAATACAATTAATTACTGAGTTACATCTCGGTTTCGGGTGTTTTTCTTATCAGTATGGATAAAACAAATTTAATCATCGAATTTTAAAGTTAAAATTTTAAAATGTATATATTCTTCTTGGAAAAAACCAGTCTTAAATTACAAATACATATTAAAAAAGAATTGTATATAAATGATCTTAAAACAAATTCTACATTTGATTTGACAATAGATTTTAATTATTTATCAAATAATGAGATTTAATCTCAAGATTTTGCTTCTACTTAAGTGGATACATATCAAGTTTTAAGATTGACTTATAATAAAAAGGTTTAACAATATGGGCCAATCTAATTATTAATATACTGGGATGCCTATTTATAAATTTGAGTTCGTTGAAAAATATAAACATAAAGATATTCAATATATTTTTTTAAAGATGCTCTTATTTTTGATCTGTAACTTTGTATTTCCGTGTAGACCGCTTGAATATAAGGAACATAAAGGATATTCCCACACACTTACATAACGAGCACCCACATACAGACACCCACACCAACGCAAACAGCAGCTTTTCAAAGTGTTAACCCATTCGTCGTCACCTTTTTGCCCCAAACATATTTAGATAATTTAACGCGCGCCGCTCGTAAATTTCCACAAACACACACACACACACACAGCCACTGATAAAGGGAGAAAGGGACTCACACACGAGCACACAGACAGAGAGAAAGATATCCACCTACACAGACGAAAAGCAAACACAGACACAACTAAACCATGTTAAGCAAATAAACGCAAGGGTGGGAAAGAGAAGGGAAGAGAAATGGTTAAAAGAGAGGCAAGATAGCTGAAAAAGACAGTTTTCCTACGATAATTACGAGCTCTTTTACTCATTTTTTTTCAAACACGCACACTCACAAATTTTAATTAGCTACGAAAAAACTTTAAAAAATCACTTAAAAAGAGAGCGAAATGTAGAGAGGGATGCTGTGTAAGTGTAAGAGTAAGCTTTTTACAACACACCTCACACACACACACTAAATCAATTCCTAGAGAGTAGGAGAGAGCGAGAGAGGTAGAGCTCAAAGGCCCTTTGAAAAACGCCGAAAAACTTGAGATTTTCTATAGGCGTTTCGTCATTTTGGTTGGTTGTTTATTAACACCTTTCCACATTTGACTTTCGCCGGCTTTTCACAGCAATTGGATGTGTAATTTTGTGTGGCATTCAAACAAAAGTTGCCACAAATTAACAAAAGAGTTAATACTTATTTGATTTTTAAAAATTTTGGTGAATACAAATTCAAAACATTTATAGTTCAAATTAAATTTACAAAATTGATTAAAATATAATAAAAATAATGTTTTTTAATTTTATTAAAATCTGTTAATCATTAAAATATATAAATTTAAGTTATTTCAATTGTTATTGCTTAAGTAAAGAAATCATCTTAAAAATTAAAAATGTGTAAAAATCAATTACTTTTCCAGTTTAAAATCTCTGAAAATACAAAATAAAAAAGCTTTTTCTTTGTAGATTTTTAAATGTTTGGAGAGAGAATTCTGTAGACCAATTAAACCTGCATTTCCTCTTCGTCCTTTTTCCCTTTCCGCCTCTGTTCTTTCTTCGCACCCACGCCGAAGGAAAACCTGAAAAAAGAGAGCCCAAAAAACCAACCAAAAGCGAAGAAACAAAAAATCGTCGCTACTTTTGCTGTAATTTTTCACACCACGCGCACACACAGATACAAATGTTGTCACCTCATCTTGCATCCCTTTTGCGCAGGAGAGCGAATTAGAGGTTCCATTTTGATTGTGCTCTCCTCTCTGCAAGTGTGTGTGTGTGTGTTTGTGGTTAAACTTGTCACACAAGACGCTTGCCGTCTTTTTCTTGCACACGGTAAAGCCGCCATATTGCCAGCTCGCTCTTTGTCTCCTGTTTCTATGTGTGCGTGCGGATGTGTGTGTGCTTGTACGTGTGACAAAATACATTTGGCTTCTTGGTGTTGGTGACTTGAGCCGGTTGCCTTTTCATTTGCACGCCTTTTGCCATCTCCCTCGCACTCGCTATGTTTGCGCTTTAGCCTTACTTTTGGCGACAACTTTTGTCACACGTCGACGTTGACTGCGACTCCGGCAGAGGCGTCGGCCGAGGCAGCGACGTCAGCCGAGACAGAGGTGAACGTCAGCGTTCGTCACTGCTCTTCTGCTTTTTCGCACTTGCGAATTTCTCGTTTCTACGTTTTAGCCCCCACCCCATTTTCTTTTGCAAATCCCAAATCATTTCATTTACATTTTAGGAACGCATAAAAGCTGCCAAAGCGGCTAACAAGCGTTTAGTTTTTGGCGTGTTAAGGTGACCATGGAGGGGGGATAAGAATAGTGAGGATTGAATAGAGGGGGTTCTAAATGTAGCGATGGTTGGATCAAAATGTACTCAGGAGGGTTAAAATTTAAAGAGGGAGGGTCTAAGATTGGTTTATACATATCTATAGTGTTCTTATATAAATGTGATAAAAGTCAGAGTCTATCACAACAGAACCCCAAATACCCTATATAACTTTAACCATTTTTTTTGTTATCGAGTGGGTAGATTCCTCTGTATAGGAATATGCCATTTTTAGGTTCTTTTAGAACCAAAACTCGCTTGGGGGTTTTATGGATTGTAAAATCAGCTGAAACATTATATACTTCTTCATATTTAACTCCGTTTTTCAACTAAACTTTATTACATTACTTGATGGAATCTTTTAGGAGCTTTTATTGTTTATAAGGTTTGTCAAAAAGGATCAACACAATTTTTTTTACAATTTTGTTTACAAACAAGTTAATTTTTTGTTTTTTTATATAAATTGTATTTGTTTTAACTATAAAAAATATTTTTTTAAGTCAAAAAACAAACTCTACCTATTTTACTCAAGAGATTTGATGTGTATATATTTTACGAGCAGTGTCTTTGATTGTCTGGAGGTCATTGTAGGTCAACTTTTGTGCCTTAAAGTGCTTCTCGCAGCCGCTTTATTTCATCTCTGGCCGGGAAATGCCACCCTCTTTCGGCCCGCCGTATTTATCTCACCACACCCCCTTAGCCACCCACCTCCCCCCGTCGCATTTATCCCACCAAATACCCCCACCCTTCTCCCCCCTCCCCCCATGACAAACATTTGACCATTGAAGCGCATTTTTCGCTTGCGCGTCATTTGTCAACTTGGCCGTTTTTTTTTTTTCATTTTTTCCTTCGTTGCCATTCTGCCGCCCTCCGTGTTACGCCCATTTTTTTTGTCTCATCCCCTTTTGAAGGTTGTGATTTACTGTCCTTTTTCATTTGCCTTTGGATTCTGTTTTACTGTCGGTTCTATTTTCTGACCATTTTTGTTTTATATTACATTTATTTTTATTTTATTTTTTAAAACATTACTTTATTGAGTATCTTCATTGTTCAATCAAATTTTTTCTTCCTGCCTTTATTTGTATATTATTTTGTTGTCTTCTTTTATTGACATTCAAATGTTGTCCAAAGGTCCGTTGACAATTTACATGGGTCCAAAGGCAGCTTTAGTTTCTTGTTGTATCGACATTTCTTAATATTGTTTTATTTATTTAAATCCTAAAGAATTCACTATCTTTTTTTTTCTTTCTAATAGTTAACGTGAACTTTTTGAGTTCTGGCTTTCAAATTGTTTTTTTATCCCTAAATTTTTTTTTTTCTTTATTTTTTTTTTTTTACCTTATTTATTTATTATTCTTATTTTGAGCATTTGTTTTTTTAAGCTAAATATTGTTTCCTCTGTTACTTCTTGAATTCTATTCAATTTTCATTATGTTGTCCTTTATTTGTTAGTTTTAGTTTTATTTAACTATTTATTTGATATATTATCTTCCGTCTGATTTTTCTCCCTTCTGCTTATTTTCCCCCTCTTTTTATCCTCCCCCCCTCCACAACATCTTCTTTTTCTTCCTCTTCTTGTAGTGGTGTCAGCTGGCTTGTTACTTCTAACACGCTTTTTCTGCTTTTGAAGCGACGTCGCTGCTTTCGTTATTTCGTTGGTTGGTGCCATTTCCCATTACACATACACACGCCGCCAAGAACCACTCACACAGATACACTTTCATTCACACTCACACCCTGACACTATCAAACAAACACACCTACACACAGGCGTCAACTCAACACTTTTGGTTCGAGTTTTTGCTTTTCTTATTGGAACTCCCTCTCTCTCTCTCGCCCTCTCACTCACTCCTTTCCCACCTCTCTCTCGCACTTGCACACGCCCTCTGTCCAAAGAAACTCAACACTCTCTCGCTCTCTCGCTCGCACCCTGTCACTAGCCGCAAGCACCCCCTATACGGCCATCTCGTTCTCACGCCCATAAGGGGGACAAAGGAGAGAGCGAGAGAGCGCGAGCGGCGGCAGCGCAGTCGACGTCGCTTGTTTTCGGCGTGTGTGTATTTCCATTCCATTTCCAGTTTCCAGTTTGAATGCGACCGGCGTGTAGTTCGTGTCGTCATCGCCGCTCTGTCGCCTTTGTCGCTTTTGTCGTTTGTCGCCGTCGTTTACCGTTTTGTCGTTTGTCGTCTGCCGCTTTATTCGTCGTTTGTTGCTTTCCCCCCTCGTTCGTCGTGTTTCGGCTCTCTCTTTCACCTCCTAATTCACCGGATTCCCTTTTGTGCTCTTTTTTTTGCGTTCTCCTTTTTGGTAAACAACAAATAAACAACAAGAAAATACCAACAAACAAAACAAAACAACAAACAAACAACTGCAATATGATAAAACTTAAAATTGCCTAGTGAAATTACGAAGAAAAACAAAAGAGAAACAAAAACAAATGTTCATATATTTTCAACGTTTTGCCGTCGCCAAAACAAAAAAGGCAAGCACAAATTGAAAACAAAACATGAAAGTAGGCCACAAAAATGAATGAAAAAACCTAAGAAGAATATAAAAAGGAGCTTAACAAATTTGAAATTCAAGTCAAATTTTCTTAGTCACAATTTTTAGTTATATATAAAAGCTTAAGGTTTCAAAACAAACAATGAGAAATCTGTAAAGTTTTCAGACAAGTCTTGTTGTTTTTTTTAATGCTACATTTATGGAATACATTTGATTTTCGAAAAATAAGGATTTTATTTTTTAAATTTTGGCTTTTAAATATAAAATGTTAAAATCTTAATCTCTATAAATAGCTGATATTTATCCCTAATAGGGTTTAATAATACCTCAAATCGAGGACATAATTTTAAAACATCAGATAATGGCAAATGGATCCAAAGATCAGGCAACAAAGGCTAAACGATTAAGTTAGAAAAACTATAGTTTCAACCCTAAAAAACAGGGCAACCCAAATACTATTTTTATAAAATTCCAAAGTTTAGGCAGCAAACGCTTTAAAAGTCATCAAAACCTTTCAAAATATATAAACAAATAATAAGCGAACTTTAAAATATAAGAATGAAACAACAAAAAGCCGATTCAAAATCTTAAGTAAAACTAACGAAAATCCCAAGCGACAAAACCAATTAAAGATTATATTTACGTTATTTTATAGCTATTAAAGAATTTTTTGAAAACAACAACAAGAAGAAGAAGGATAAGAGAGTGCTAGTGAACAAGTCAACCCCCTCCCCAAAACAAAAAAAAAAAAAAAAATAACAAAATCAAATATACAAACAAGTACCTGTCGAACAAAAGTAAAGAAAACCATCTAAGGACATTCTCGAGAGATCCCTAACACAGAGATCGCCGTGGGAAATCAATTCTGCATGACGCACTCGGTTGTTTGAAACGGTTATGTGATGAGATACGACGTCCAGGAGCTGCTACTTCATCAGTCTGCTGAGGATCCATTCGCTAGATTTGCCAATGGGATGGCATATCATCCATTTCTGCAGCTAACGCAACGACCCACTGACTTCAGCGTATCCTCGCTGTTGACGGCGGGTAGTAATACTAATAATAGTAATAATAGTAACAACAACAGCAGTGGAAACACCAACTCGAACAACAATTCCAACAACACCAATAGTAACACCAACAATCTTGTGGCCGTTTCACCAACGGGTGGTGGTGCGCAGTTATCGCCGCAGAGCAACCACAGCAGCAGCAACACCACCACCACCAGCAACACCAACAACTCTAGTTCCAACAACAACAATAATAATAATAACAACAACAATAATAATAATAATAACAACAACCATACAAATAATAATAATAACACGAATCAAAAACAAGGACACCACTTGAGCACCACCGAAGAAACAACATCGCCAGCTGGGACACCACCACCACCGCCCACAATTGTTGGTGTACCGTCAATACCACCGCCCAACAACAGCAGCAGCAACAACAACACAGCTGCCCATCCGTCGCACCACCCAACAACAACAGCTGCAGCCAGGGAGGCTCATCACTCACCAAATACGGGTGCCGCTGCACCACCCACTGGCGTAACGGGTCTACCGCCACCCACACCGCCGCACCACCTCCAGCAACAACAGCAGCACCAGCAGCAGGCACCACCACCACCACCGCCCTACTTTCCCGCTGCGGCACTGGCCGCTCTAGCTGGCAGTCCGGCCGGACCGCATCCGGGCCTCTATCCCGGCGGTGGCCTACGCTTTCCGCCCCACCACCCCGGTGCCCACCCACACGCCCACCATCTGGGCAGCGCCTACACCACCGCCGAGGACGTCGTCCTTGCCTCGGCCGTCGCCCACCAGCTGCATCCGGCGATGCGACCGCTGCGGGCCCTGCAGCCCGAGGACGACGGGGTCGTCGACGATCCCAAGGTCACGCTGGAGGGCAAGGACCTGTGGGAGAAGTTCCACAAGCTGGGCACCGAAATGGTCATCACCAAGAGCGGCAGGTGAGTTCCACAGTCCATATTCCCTAATGATTCCCAAAGAACTTTTTTTTTTTTGATTCCCTTGGTAAAGTTTCCTTAATGGTAACACAACAGAGTCTTTAGAAATCCGAATATTATGTGCAAAATAGTACAAATTTAGGGTTTAAGAACAAGTAATAATATGGTCCCAAGTTCCCTAAATGGTATCTCAATAGGGTTTTCGGTTTAATGGGTTATGATCAAAATTCACGACATTTTATAGATATGTTCACATTTCGAAAGTTTTCAACATAGAGTGCCTAATGATCCAAGTATGAACTAGTATATAGGATAAATAAAACTCATTCAGTAAAACGTGCCTAAAATATGGTTCAAATTTAAAGAACCCAAATCGATGTGAATGTTGTTCGAAAGAAGTGCCAAAGAAAAAAGGATATAAATTTCAATCGTGTATAATTTTTTATGTATGTAATATACTATTTTATATTTTTAAAACATGATACATATATTTTAAATGCTGCTGCATAAATTTAGTTTTTACAATTTGTAGAAAGTGATTTAAGGCTTACGATTTTTGTTTGAATACCTGGGAAAAAATATTTCCATTGATATGCGTCGCATTCGAAAATTATTTTTATTTTATGAATATTTGTAAAAAAAAATATACGCGCTAAATGGAATAAAAGCTTAGAACCTGTTTCGAAAAATATTTTGAAAGCAACCCGATTTTTGATTGACTTTTAGAGCATTAAAATGGTTAGCTAGCCCGTGGCAAAACAATTTCTTCGTTTAATAGGAGTAATATTTTGTATGCTCCGGCTGCCATATTGGCAAATAAATGTGGGTTTATTCTCGAGCCTTTGGCAATCGAGGCGTTCCCGGGCCGAAGGTCAGGTCACAACCTTTGGCCACTTGAGCACGTGTGGCGACGTCTCAAGCTTCCATTTAGCCGTTAAAAACCGCTCCCAGATTCCACGCCCAGTTGAGCTGAAAGTAGGTGAACAGCAGACGCCCCTGTTCTTCCTTTTTTTTTTTTTTGTATATTATTTTTCCATTTTTCCAGCATGTCATCAGCCTTAAAATCTGAGAATCTCTCCCTCGAGAAGATGATGATGATACAATGATGATTATATGACGACGACAACGTTGACATTCAAGCTGCGTTGGCGCGTGAAAATGCGTTTTGAGCTTCACACCTACTTGAGAAAGTATTCACGGATACGCACACATACTCAAAGTGAGTGTGGAGTGAGTGTGGAGTGAGTGTCAAGTGAGTGCAAGATGTGGCAGCTGTGAATGTGACTGTGAATGCGAGTGCACTCAAAAAAGTCCAAGATAGTGCCCCCCACACACTTGGCAAAAATGCAGTGCTTTAAGGCGGGGATTTTAAAGGGAATCCAAAAAGATTCTTATAGAAATGGACATAATTTAAAATTTTTATTTTTACTAGTATTCTTTTTACAATGCAGGAACAACGTAGAAAAACTAGTAACATCTTTCCTAAAATTCTAGTATTTGTTTTATTGATAAGAACTGTACAGAATTTTATTTGTGTGCCAAATTTTAGATAAGAATAAGTTTAATATAGTTTAAATATTAATTAAATAATGGACAAAAGGGAATCCCTAAATCTGACAAGTTTTTATGCCGTTCAATTGTTGATTGAAATCTAAAAAAAAGGGAATCTTAAATATCAACTAAACAATTGAATACTTTCATAATTATGTAATTAAAAAGGAATGCACATACTTTAGTTAAATGTGGAATGCCAAGAATACAGTTATTAATCTATTACGGAATATAGGAAAATAACTGAGCATTATTTTCTAACCTTATAAATATGCAACATTTTAGTTGCTTTAATTCAGGGTTTTCGTTTCTTAATAATAAAATGCATTGATTCTTAAATAAAAATTTAAGGAAATTAACTATTGACTATAACAACTTCAGTTCCAACAACAACAATTATAACAACAACAACAGCAACAATAATATTACTTATACCGACAACTTCAAAAATGAACTATTAAATTTCTTTATGAGTAGAAGCTGCGTACCAAATAAAAGGTCCCAAGAATTGCGTAGTATTCATTATAATAAATAATACACAGAAATTCCCGTAATTCTCTGTTATATTCCCTTTAATTTTTCTTTCATTTTTACGTTTATTCATTGGCCAGCATGCCAAATTCAATTAGCTTCTGTTGTTGCTTTTTTAAGCTACAAATTGCCTGACGCCTCGACTAAGCTTCTTTGGCCAACGCCTTTGCCGCCCCTTTTCCTATATATGTATATATTCATGTATATATTTATCCATATAGTTTCAATGCCAGTCTGGCGGCATGGGCGTGGCAGCAACACCAATAGAAAGTGCAAATAAGCGCAAAAATAAAATATTTGCAAATAGTTTTGTGTGCTGAAAGTTGCGAATACGTCTGGCCAGGTGTCTAGGGGCTCTTGGCCACGCCCCCACGACCCGCGCCGCCAACTGGCCACGCTTACGCCCCCATCTTTATGCAAGTAGTTGCATTTCGTTGTTGCTGTTGTTGTTGTTGTTGGTTGTTCGCACTTGGCGAAATACACACGCAAAAAAAATACAAAACACAAAACAAAAAACAAAAAACCAAAACATGAAAACTTCAACCGCAAAAACAACAAAACACACACAAAAAAAGTTGATGAAAAATATATTTTTCAAGCTTTTGGATAAGAGGGGGGTTCCTAGCCATATCCTTAAGCTCATTAGCAGTTTGGCGACTTGAAGTGTGAAACTAAACCAAGTGGCCAAGCCATGGGCATACAAAAACAACTCTACAATCCGCTCACTTAAAAAAAAAGCCCAGCCTTGCTTTTTAACTTAGCAAGTTGGTAAAAAGTAGCAACTGATACACTAAAAAAACCAACTTCTGTATCAATTAATTTTGAATATTTAAAGACTTCTTTTTTAAAGACTTTTGTGTATTGTTTTTTTAAAAAATCCAGATGGTTTTCTCTTATAAAAATATTTAGTAAATATAAGTTTTATATCTTTTAATATGAATGGTTATAAAATATATTACATTAGATGCATGGATATGGTAATGCAATTTTTCTCTGTTCTTTCGAGTTCATGACCCTGCAAAAAGGGGCGAGGGAAAAAGGGGGAGTGGCTGGGGGGTTGCCCCAAAGTGTGGCATGCAATTGTTGTAGATGAGGAATGGGAGCAAGAAAGATGGAGAGCAAGAGCGAGAGAGAGTGAGAGAAGTGAGGGGAGAGGAGGGGAGAAAAAAGGGGAACCCCCGAGTGGCTTGTAAAAGTTTTAAGTACTTGTACCTAGCACACATATGGAGATTATGGCTATGTGTAAGTTGCAACTTTTTTGCACGCCACACACTCAGTTGTTGTAGTTGCTGTCGTTGTTGTTGCTGTTGTTGTTGCTGTTGTTGCTGTTGCATGCTTGCGAGACGTGCGAAAAAAAAAAATAAAACAGGCAACAACCAAATGGCAAAACAGCAAACAGAATTATTGTTGCCGCTTCTGTTGCCGCTGCCCCATCATCATCAATGTCAAAATTATTGTTTTTCCTGCCGCCCCCTTGGAAAACACCACCGCCCCTCTATTTCGCCTCTCCATGTGAGTGCCACTTGAATGTTTAGCGAGTGGATTTGCATTCACTTGGCTCGATTCAATCGCTTTTTTGTGCTTCCTATTTTGTGTGTGCGTGTGTGTTTTTTTTTCCGCGAATTCTGTTTCGATTCATTGATGCAATGATTTGGGGTTTCTGCTTTTAGTTTTTTATTCACAAAAATTTGGTTAAAAACTAGGATAACCTGACAAAATCATTTAAAATTTAGATTTTTCTTTATTTCTATTAAGGCGAATAAAACCAAGATACATAAAGAAAACTGTATATTTGAAATTGTCTTACTTTAATTATATAAACACTGAATTTAAATTATACTTAGAAGGCTTCTCGTTCTCCCCATTGAATTCGAAAATTCGTCTCCCTCTTTCACAATTTGTCGCTGGCAATTAAATCGCTGAAGCAAATAGCGTGAAATCTTTCTGCGTTTTGCAGCTTGTTGCTCTGACTTATCAATTAATTGAAATTGCTGTCTAAGCGCAAATAAATAAAGTTTCGTCCCCGCTTTTTCCACACCCCTGAACACTTGGCGAGACACTTTCAGTGCGAAAGTCAGGCAAATAAGATTTGAAATCAAGAACAACAACAAAAAAAAACCCCAGAATATAGACCACAGTAAACCAATGAAAAAATCTATAGAAAAAATGTCAAAAATTATCAAGTGTTGACCCCGAAGTAAGAGGAAGATAGAGAAAAGCAATAAATATAGCCCATAAAGAAAGATGGTGCGAGATTGCTTTGATTTCGCAAGTTTCTAGCTAATTGAAAGTGGCAATTTATAGGATTGAAGCCCCTTTCATAAACTGAATGTATGGCAACTCAATTTAAATTGGGTAGAGTATAAGAGATATTAAATAAAATTCTACTTGCAGTTTTTTTACTGTGTATTTGTCATGCCCCCCTCTAAATTTCTAATTGATGTCAGACTTTGTGCCAGGCATGCGATAATGTGACAGACAAAAATATTTAATGACACGACAAAGGACACACACTATGCCACTTTTCCCCCGGCATTGAATTTTTTTTCCTGGGGTCAACCCCTGGGCAACCGCCTGTCAAAGTTCACTTGTTTAATTTTCATAAATAAAAATTTTCCGTTTCCTCCATATTTATTTATTGTTTTTGTTGTTGTATTTGTTCTCCTTTGCATTTTCGTTTTGGGTAAAAACTCAGCTGACGGCGACAAAACGCAATCAAAGTGCACTGGCCTGGTCCGCCCCCTTACGCCCACCTCCTCCAAGCCGTAGGCTCAATTAAATGGGCGTGTCTGCCTACTATTTTTTTGTTTTTTTTTTTTTTTTTTTTTTTTTTCGTTTTTCCAAGTTTTCCTCTACAAAGTCATTAGCGGGCGGGGGTAAAGAGGTCAATTGGGGGTTGAGGGCGAAATTTTGTTATAGTG